CTAGGAGCAAAGGGCATCGCTACTACGAGCAAGAGGACGCTACTAGGGGCTCCTGGCATCGCTACTAGGAGCAAGGGCGCTACTAGGGGCTCCTGGCATCGCTACTAGGGGCTCCTGGCATCGCTACTAGATCTACTAGGAGCAAGGACGCAACTAGGAGCTTCTTTTTTCCTCAAACAGCTTACTGTTGGGGTTCTGTCTTAAGAAGAAAGATACTGGCCATGTCTTTGGCCGCGCCCCTGAACCCTGTGGCCGGGTGTTGTCCTCCTGTCCGCGCTGGCGAACCCTGTATGCTCCTTTTGTCCCCTTGGTGTCCTCCTGTTGTCCTCTGGCCACCCTGGCAAAGCCTGTGTCCTCCTCTTGTTCCCCAAACAGTTTAGTGGCCTCGTCCGGTCCTTGTCCAATGTGTCCTGCTTGGCTGTGCCATGGGCCTTTCTTCTGCGCCTTGTGAGGGCTTTCTTTGAGTCTGTCTGTCCTGCTTGTCCGCGTTGTCGGCCTTGATCACTCACCGCGTTGTCCCAGCCTTATATCCCCTGCTTGGCCACGCCGCTTTCTCTTTCTCCATGTCCGGGTATGTATTCGTGCGTCTATGAATGCAACAATGATGCAGCGTTTGATATCCTTGGATTTTCTCATGACATCCCCCGCGAATCAGGAACTATTGTTTTCTAACCTGTTTTTTTTCATGCCATTCCCAAACAGACGTTACCGCCAACATTGGAATTCAAGAAGTTGACGGCCAAAAAAAGCTGAAACTGTTTCGGTGTATGGAGGCATAGTTCTCTCGTGGATTCAGCCTGTCCCTTGCGCCTGTTTGAGGAACTCTCCTTTTCACAGACGCAGCACCGTCACCGTGGAGTTATGAATTTGCCACGGGCGAGAACAAAAAGTATCCCCCCGCAGCGACCTTGGCTTTGGGCATTTGTGACTTCAAGTGTCCTAGGTTTTCGTCATTAACGTTGGGATGTCAGCAAGTGGTTCCATGTGCATTCACAACCGGGAATTTGTTCCTTCTGCCTATGGCAATCAAAAGAAAGGTAGACATGTTGCAGAAATGTGTCGCATGTGCAGTCCCAATCGCTATTAGGTTGGAGGCCATTGCTATAAGGTTGGAATCGCTACTAGCTTGGAGGCCATTGCTCTTAGGTTGGAGGCCATTGCTATAAGGTTAGAATCGCTACTAGCTTGGAGGCCATTGCTCTTAGGTTGGAGGCCAGTGCTATAAGGTCAGAATCGCTACTAGCTTGGAGGCCATTGCTCTTAGGTTGGAGGCCAGCGCTCTTAGCTTAGGTTCCACTCCCAATCAGATTTACATGAACATGCTTTCCTAACTCTTGGCACGGTTGCCACGGGCATGGACCAGGTGCCTGGCCCTGGCCGCGATTGCTACCATTTCCTGGGAGCTCAACGCCACTTAGCAGTCTGAAAACAACATCTCCACGGCCTAGTTGTTTGCTTCACACCCATGCTACTAGGAACAAAGGGCTACTAGGGGCTCCTGGCATCGCTACTAGGAGCAAGGACGCTACTAGTTGTTTACTTCTCTGAGGTTCTTTGGGTTTTCCCAGCCTCTCTTCATTCTCCTATGATAACACCACGGAGCCTGGCTGGGATTCTCCATTGACTCTGGCAGAGGCAAGAGTAGCATCCTGAGAAGGGTCATGCAAGAAAGACAGCTGAACTGAACACATGCCTTTGTATTGATGTGTGATATAAACTTACACTGTACTTGTTTGCCCGCCTTAACGAGAGGAGAACTCTTAAGAACCAACCAGGCACATTCGGAGTTTGGAGAACAATCGGTGGCCAAAACTATGCAAACAAATTATACGAGAAAAGGCAACACCAACCTTTAATACCACCACAAGTTCGCCACCATCAACCAACAATGACAGCATTTGCTAGGATTGTTGGATCATTGCAAGAATTCAGGGGTTGAATAGATGCAGGGCAGATGCCATGGGACGTGTTCATCACCCACTCTTTTTGTTCATGTCATGATTAGGTCGAAGTTGAGGCGTGACGCGGGGAGTCGATTTTGGTGAACACATTTGTGAGTCTGTGCGTGCCAACGTTGGCCGTTTGGCAGTTTTGCTTTAGTTTACCATTGAAAGCAGGATCCATTACGGCAGCAAATGGTGCACTTTGCCAGAGTATGTCAAGGACTGCTTTCTTGCGCTTCTCCTTTATTTTTTGTTGAATGCCTGTGCAGGACAGGAAGCCCCAGCAACTTTGGTTGAAAGCTGTCTTCCTTTCATCCTCAACCTATTGTGGAATCGCTTAAAAGTGGTGTGCTTTTCTTTGCCAGACGGATCTTGCCACTTCCTTCACTTTTGTTAACTTTGTTCCTCTTTAGTCCGTCATGGACTCTTTGATCTTGGTGTATTTTGGACATGTTCTGCTCGTCACCACTCCAAACACCTTCAAGCAACGGCGAGGTCTGCAGTGGTTGGGATGGTATGGCAAGTCTGGCCGTTGTTCTAGCTCTTCAGCGCTCCAGTGAGTCTGGAAGGCCCGCCACACCAAATGAGATGCTCTCAGGCGTGATCCTGCCGAACCTGTGTGGTCGATGGATTTCTTGATGCAGAAACCTATATAACAAGGAAGAGAGGGCGAGAAGTGATGAGAAGATCCTTTGGAAAAATGTCTTTCAAAAATATTTAGTTGGAGGCCATCGCTCTTAGGTTGGAGGCCATCCCTAGTAGGTTGGGGGCCATCGCTATTAGGTTGGAGGCCTTTGCTTCTAGGTTGGAGGCTTCTAGTAGGTTGGAAAGCCGTCTTCCAAAAAGCAACCTCACACTTTTGCACCAGGAGTTCACGAGATGTCCAATGAGGATTCCAGAGTTCCGAAGTGCTGATAACTCCTTGCAGGCTACGCTCGAGGACACTCAAATACCTTGTCACTTCGCTGGTCAATTGATTCTTGATGTAAAATGTATTTAACAGAGCGCATGCAGCACATTACACCGTGTCTCAATTTAAATTGAAGTCATTGACAAGACCGATTCCATTTCCAGATGTGTGCGCAGGAGATAGAGTGAATCCATCCAAGACACGGAGTCTCGTAATTCCAAGGCTGGCAGTGGATCGACTTTTTCTGCCCCAGACGTATTTGACGTCCCGAGATTGGAGACCAAAGAAACTGCACATCTTCCACCAGCAGTTGCTGTGACTAAATCGAATAGCCAGGAGGGCGAGGCGAAGGAGCTTGTGGTGAAGATGGATGATGACGGTGCAATCTCCCAAGCCTGTGATGTTTAGATTGTGAAAGGCCCACGAAAGAATGGGCGAGGCAGCTCTTTTCTGAACCTGCTGCTTGGGCAAGACTCAATTCTGCTGGATCTCATATTATCGTCTTACAATTCCAAGCATTCGGACAAGGATGCACTGCTTTTCCGCGTTGCTTGAGTCTGGACAATGTGTACAAAAAATTGCTTGAGTCAAGTGCATTTCTTGTTGCTGAACAAGTGAGATGAAGAGTGCCTAGTGCCTTATTGCAGTGCCTGGTGCCTTGCTGCTCCAATTTTCTCATGCCCCTTGTCCATGTCAGGAGCAGATCCTCCACTGCGAGCGCCTTGTTGAGCCTTTGCTGAACCCAGAAAGTCCAGAATTCGAGTATGTGTTAGCCTCAGAGCCTGATACATTGTAGCAGTCCTGGGTGTGTGTGGAATTGCTATTATTGTAAATCCTCAGCGCTTCATTGCAATTGATATTCTGTTTTGATGCAATTCTCTTTCGAGCTTTTGTACATGGCAAAGGAAGGACATGTTTTCTTTAATCTGGGTTCCATATCTTTTGGGGTTGGGCGACCGCACGACTTGACATTTGTAGTCGGTTTGAGGCCCGAACGCACGGTATGCAGCAGCTTGCCATGGTGAACGGTGAGCCTGATTGTTTGGAGCTGAGCTTCGTGTCTTTTGTAGCTGCTATCCTGCCAGGTTTCTCCTTGAACAAGGCTGAGCAGAGGTGTGGTATTTGTGGTGCTTTGGGTCACTTGGGCTGCTCAGCCGCACTGGCTAACTCCAAGGTACTGGTAGGGACGAGCATGCAATTAACATGGGTGCTGCTTTGACACATCCCATCTTTTTTCTGTTTGCAATTTGCTTGCTTGAATCTTCTTTGGCACTCGCTACCACTTTGAGGATTCGAATGCCCAGAAACAAACAACCAGAACTACAAGATGGCGAATGCACTGTCCCAAGCCGTCTCTTTGTGGAATACACCGATGAACGTTGGAACAAACTGCTTCGATTGTGAGGGTCAACATTGGAAGGGCAGTACCTACAACATAACACTATAATAATTATCTACAATCTATATCAATCTATTGGCTTTGTAAAATGTCGACCCCTTTGAATGAATGAGGAGTTTTAATGCATTTGATGCGATGCTGAGGTGACATGTACCATTTGCGGTGACAAGGGGCACGTGGCGTCCTCCTCTTGGTAGTTGTAGTCACTAACAATGCGCTTACTTGCATGGTATTCAAGACAAGGATTGCCGTTCGCCTTGCTTCTCGAGGTCAGACTGTAAAAAGGCGGCTGAAATCAACAAAAGAGAGAACGTTGATTGGAAGGCAAGCACGGCGAGCACCTAGCATCGAATTCTTTTTCGCCCCAAGCGGAGCTATGCGGAGCTCAGTTTTACCATGTTCTCCCAGGCCATGGCCGAGAAGAAGGCCCAAATGGACAAGGAGATTCTCGGAGATTGTTGTGGGAATGTAGTTGGGATATTTGAGGCAAACAAGGTTTGTGATAGCATGTGAAGCTGCTTTTCTTTTGGAAGGTTCACGCCATATGAATCATATGTTGTCACTGGTTTCGCTTGTCTTTTGCCTTCTGCAACTTGTACTTGCATTGTACGTAGCCTGAACCCGAAAAAAGATTTCAAGTGTGGCCGCAGGACTTTAATGACATGATGAATGACATGGGTGGTTTAGGAGGCCAAGCTCAGGCGTGTCTTTCTGACGCACACTGCGCAAACAAAACGCGTCCAAGGTACGCCAAGAGTGCAATGTTTCGATTGCTGCGTCCAATGTTTCGGTCATGCCATTGTAACCTCTATATCCAACATGTTCATCATTTCGCGGCCCAGCTTGGGATCAAAAAGAGAGGCTGCGCAGCTTGGCGCAGTTTCCTTATGATACGATGACTGGGTGAATGACGTGGTGACTCGCCATGGGTCCAGCCTCTCAAAGGGGCATTTGGCTGCCTAATCTGCGCCGGCCCGATGTGAGCGCGCGGCACATGGCCAACTTGCTTGATGCTAAGGTGCCTTTCATTGTTCATTCAGAACATAGTAATATTCCAGGTCCATGGGGTTCACTTGTTTCTGAACTAACAATAAGGAACAAGACAGTTGGGCTTTTCTGAGAGTAAAAGGGCATTCCAACATTGTTGAGAGGATGAAACACTGGTGTGCTCAATATAGGTTGTGCAATAGCCTCTTTGCAAGTGTAGTGAACCTGGAGCCAGCTGATCATACAGTACAAAAGAAAAAAATTGTTTGACAGTCGTCAAGATTTCAGGAATTCAGTTGTGATTTCCTTTTCGTCATTTGAGGCCCGCAACGCTTTGTCTGCATGCCGCGGACTGCGAGTCTTAGGGAGCTCGTGGGTCTTTCTACTGTCCCTAGCACTCCTCAATAGATGCTTGCTCGGGATGAGCATCAAGGCAGTGGTGGAAATGCTAAGAGCCCATCGGGATGGGAATGTCGTGGCATTCCTTATTGGAGCTTTGAGCACAGTGCTCTTGCAGTCATCATCGCAAAGTCTTGATATTGCAGGGGAGATGGTTTCAGATCAGGTGGAAGTGCAAAGTGGCATTCTCTTTGCAATCGGCACGAGCGTTGGTGCCAGTGGCCTGCCGGTGTTGGTGGCCATGATGCCTGGCTGCCGCCTGCATCTCACCAGAGCTGTGTGGGGCATTGCTTCCTTTCAGTTTTTGAAGCTGATGACCCTTGCAGCATCTGGGCTGCTTCTGGTGCCGGCCGAGATCCTAAGTCGAGGACAACTACTTGGCTTCACGAGTCAGATGGTGCAATCCATGGCTTCCATCAACTTTCACTATGTGAATCCAGCCACTTGGGTGGTGCAGCCCTTGTCAAATCTCTTGGTGAGGATCAATGATTGGCGCCTGAAGGCATACATTCTTGGGCCACCAGCCCAACACATCCTTGAGGCTGGAGCTGCCGGGTGTCCGAGGGATGGTGGCTGTGCCTACTCATGCCTATCAAATCGGTTGCACGACGTATGGCGCGCTGTTGATGCAACGTTCTACGACTTGCAACAATGTGATGTGCTCAACACAGCAGCCAACAACACGCACTACTCATGCAGCGAAGAGCATCCTTGGTGTATTCGCTCGGGAGAGACATTCTGGAGGCAAGTTGTGGAGCAAGGAATCATCGAAGTCGGAGGTGTTCTGTGTGGACTCATTACAGGAACGGTATTCCTGTATGCAGCGTGCCAATTTCTGCTCCGAGACCTTGCTCATTCTAGCGCTGGTGGCAGAGTCAGCAGGTGCTATGTGCTTCTAGAAAAGGCCATAGCAGTGCCAGATGTCCTAGCCTGCTTCGGCATTATTGTGTTCACTCTACTCCTGATGCACGATAGCGTCTTTGTAGCTTGCATTTTGACACCTCTGGCCGGAGTTGGCATGCTGCCAGCTTCCAAGATGATGTGCTGGGTCATGGCAGCCCAAGTTGGAGAATCCTTGGCGATGATTGCAAAGGGTGCGACGCAACAACCTTTTTCGAGGGGTGTCGTTCAGCTGGCCTGGGTACAGCTGTTTTGCAGTATCCTTGCTATCCTCATTACAGCCTTGCCTTTCATGAGAAGGCTAGCATGCCATTGCAGCTTGATTTGCGCAACTGCTTGTCATGAATTTCTGGTCTTCGTGAGTATTGCTGTTGTTGGAATTCCAGCCATTCTGGCTGGGATTTTTGCGCTGACAGTTCTATGGGATTCCTCACCCTCGTTTACTGTATGCATTATGCTTGTTGTCCTGCCACTGGTCATATCTGCAATTGTTTGGATTTGTTTGCGGTCGGATTGGCTCTTGCCAGTCGAGGTGAGAGAAGAGGTTAGGGAAGAGTGCCAAACACAGACACCAATGGCCAGCCCGGCTGGCCCCACATTTTTGAGTTCTTTCTCTCCACATGTGAGATCTCCACCAAGCGGCCGAACACTTCCTGCGAAATCACCTTCACCTTCACCAGCGCCAACAAGCCCTTTGAGCCCAATGCCAAACTTGGAGATGATTGCAGAGGATCGAGAGGATCCAATCGGAAATGAAAGGAATGAAAGGACAATAGGACCAAAGATCACAGCTCCCTTGCCAGTCATGCCTGTGGTACCTCGATCTTCGCGACCAAGTGGAGGCAGTGATGATACCTACAGCTCAGCAGATGCCGGGAGCCTTGTCGAGCTAAGCGAAGTCGTCTTCAAGTGGTCGTGCATGTTTTTGTCGAGGGTTTCTTTGTAATGTGAAAGTAGAAAGGTCTGGGGAATTTGCTCACCCAGGATTGTTACTATGGCTGCAGACTGGACACCAGACATCACTTCCAGACTAGGCCGGATCAGCATTCGCTTGTATTTTCCGTTTGAGCTTTGTCATCATAGAAAGTACAGATATTGGAGATGGCCATGAGATTTTATGATCTTATTCTACCTTTGCAGATTGGTTCATGATTTGCGAAGGAATCAACATTGGGAGATATCAGAATAGGCATTCTTATTTTCTTCAATATAAAAACATATTAAAACTTTTTGCGTGAAGTCCGGCTCCGAGATAGATAGACATTTTGATTTGGAGCCTGCTTTCAGGTCGAGCAGGCATGACTCCTGTCCGAGCTGACAGTGACGAATCAAATGCTGAGCCAACACAGCTAAGTGAAGCAACTTGGTCAGCAAGAATCACATGCCGGAAAGCCATCAAACCGCAAGGACATGAACAGCCAGGTCGGGATGTTTCGGGCTCATCTTGCGATGTTGCTCATCGAATCCTCTTGTCATTGTAAGCGCATCCCATAGGCGACCCTTCTGTTCTTTTTGATGTTTTCACCATGTGCAGCTCTTTCAACACCTGACCTCCTCATCCACTTTTTATCACGATCAGATGTTCAAACAAAACCTTGAACGAACTGAAAACCTTTAATTACCAAACCGAAGGGCCCTACTGGCCCTGTGTGCGGCCATCTAGTTTCAGCCTTCTGAACTCTTCTCACGCCAGTGCCTGTAGCTTGTCTGTTTTTGCTTCAACATTCGACAAGAGGTGTCACGATTGTCACGCACACCCCAAGTGGTTGGTGCAACGTGAATCCATGGAAAGTTTCTATCAAGGGAACAATTTTGGGCGCAGACTTGCAAGCAATCTCTGAGGCAACCGGAGCAAATCTGGAGCCAGAACATGTTGAGCCAGAAGCACAAGGCTGAAATGAGCACCATGCCTACCCATTTGTATAGGTCATGTCCAGTTTAGGCGTCTTTGAAGACGAACTGCGTTCCGGCGGTCGGTTAGGGGCTCGAATCTGTTTCAGATCCAGAGAGCATCAATTAACAACGACTTTTGACCTCGATATCTGTGACCGCGTCCTGCGTTGCAAAGAACGACTCTCAAAAAGTCCTGCGTTTCACATGTAATTGGTGCGTTCCTGCAGGCTTTTGGCCTGGGCTTTGGAGACAAGAACGACATGCAATCTCCGCTTCACCGGAAGATCGGGACCGGCCCTGCACCGGGCCTGGCATCGGCTCGAACCAGCCAGGCTCCTGGGGGTCCAGTTTGCAAGTTCTCACCTCCAGGCTTCGTGTGAGTTCCACACCGATTTCCGTTTGTGGCTCTGAAGAGAGCTGCTGACGTGACGAGCGTCCACGTATGTCCACGTCTACAGGTCGCCAGGGCACGACATTTGTGCAAAGTTCAGGCTTTGTAGCTTCAGATCTTCCATTCATGTTTTTGCAGTTTTTGTTCTTCCGTTTCATGTGTGCCCTGGATTGAGCATCTTTGATCCAAGATGTGCAGTATGATTCAAAGTATGATTATTAATTGGATAGCTCTACATGCACGAGTGAGGCTTGAAACAATCTTCAATGCCTTGCACCACATCACAGCAAGAAGGATGGACTCATGCCGCCCTCGTCGCTCCTCCTTTTTCATCCTTTTGTTGTATTGTTCGTCTTACTGTTTTTACATTTGCTACTGCTAACCCCCTTGCAAGACCTTTGTTTGTTGGCAAAGTTCATTCTTCAGCTGAATGCCAATGCATCTTCTTCAATGCGAAGACCATGTTGGCCAACTCTGAGTTGCTACAAACAGTCATAATATGATTCCAATGGCTTATGTGCATCTCCACACTTTTCATGGCCCCATTGGTTTAATTCGACACCTGCACGCAACAAGCTGCTGAGAGCTCTTGCAGCTCGGGTCAAGTGCTTGGCCAATTCTGTCAGACGACACTGGCCGTGGCCCGGTTGATCAAATGTGTTCGCAAATGCACCAATCCAAACCAATCAGGCTAGTGGTGCAGCCAGAGGAACAGCCAACATCCATGCTTCATCATGCTTCATATCTTTTGAAGGCATCGACAAATTGTGCCGTCGGAGGACAGTACACCTGTACTGTGAGACTGCACACGCCTGCGTCAAAGGAAAAGCGTCGAGCTGTGTCCATGAGTCAAGTGACACGAGTCAACGACTCGGTAAGTCCTTGAGTCCGGCAGCCACACTTGGGCAACGCCTTGTGAAGCCTTCAGCAGGCTGGTGGGCAGCCATCCGGTGGTCAGGTGCTGCACCTTGTGAAACTTGTGGCTTTCGTAAAGTTTTTTCACATTTCGTGTGCTTCTATTTCGACACAATTTGCCTTGCAGACCCTGGTGACCATGGACTCCGCACCAGGTCACTTGCAAGCTACCACCTTGTTATATGCTCTTTGTTGGTTGGAACAGCTTGGCCCATTTTGTTTGATGGCAACATCGACTATGTTTGAGCTTACCTTCCTTTGAGCTGTCGCGAACTGCAGCATGATAGACGTATTGGATATTCTTGATATAAATTCACTTTCATGTCCTCTCAGACAATTGCAGGAGCTGGGACAAGCAATGCATGGATCTTAAGCACTGCTCATCCTGAATGTTTGCTTAAGTGAACACTTGTTCTCAGGTTGACAAGACCATCATTGTGCCGGGTCATTTAGTTGGCAAGATCATAGGCCTGACAACCATGGAGTTGGAAACGGTGCGGCTTGTATTTTAGCAAAGCGTGCGTCATTGCGCTTAATTGAATTCATCTAAAGCGGTTCCTTTTGAAATGCTTTGCCCCACTCATATTTATTCCACATCGCACGCACGCGGAAGCGACGTGTTGCACCTGTCCATGTGAACGTCCAACCCGGAGGCCCAGCGGGTGCCACCATCAAGAAGATGGCCGCAGACACGGGGGCCCAGATCAACATGGACTCGGTGGTGCAGCCAGGCTCATCCTGGGTCTGGACAAAGCAAAGAGCAAGGAACAAACATGCTGGAACATGCTGGAACAATCAACGACTAATTGGGATCTCGGTGTTGCTGTAGCGTCAATCCATTTGAATCGCACTGTCCTGACCCGCTCAGGAGGTGGAAAGGCAGTGGTCATTACAGCAGCAGATCCTGCTGCTCGAGAGCGTGCCAAGGTGCAGAAAGCATGTGCATCGCTTTGCCCCAAGTCGGCTGCAACAAGGCCCATGTGCAGAACTGGATCAAAGACAACCAGGCCGAGTCAGATCAAATCGCAGCAGCTGACAAAATTGTGACCCCTAGAAACTTTTTTGGCAACAAAAACACTCCAGCAACAATACGGTTCGACGTTACAATTGGAAAGAATCAAAAGGCAGGTGAAAGGAGATGAAAGGGACATGAAAAGACAGTGCTTGTAAGTATTTGTTGAGCTTTTGCTAGAAAGATACATTTTGTTATTGCCTCTGTTTTACAGGATATATTATTGCGGATAAGAATTGGTTTCATTATTGCAACGTTCTTGGATATCAAGTTGCACGAGTATTGCTGGTCTTTTTGTGGCGAAACGTTTACTTACTATATTGTTTACAATTCGGATATACTCTGGGTGTACCACTGCGGCCATATATATATATATATATCATGTCAGAACGTTTTTGCTTTGATTGGTATCCAACCAAATGAATGGACGCCTGTGCACTTGCACTGCACATATTTAGGATGTGCTCGAAGTTCTCGAGATTCTTCATCCACATTTGTGTAGAGATCTGAAGTCAGGCTCCGGCCATGGGACCTGGCTACCAGCCTGGCTTGTGGAAGCCTCAGGAAATGAATGGCACTCCAAACGCGTACCGGGAGGAAGCACCTCAGTGCCAAACCTTTTTGCGATCGCAGAATCATCTGGATGCTTTTGTTCTGATAACAGGCTCATGCGTGTGGAAACCCACCTGTGCCTTGCATGTCACTGTCAAAGATTTGAAGCACTTTCAGCAGCCACGCAGCCATACTGCTAGTGCTTTGTTTGACTCCCAACTTGTGCAGGGGTGGCATGCAGCCAATTGGTGGACTTGGTGGCAAAGGTGGCATGGGAGGCAAGAGATGGCAAGGTTTTGTAGCTTGTGTAGACCCATCTTGGCACTGGCTCAGGTGGCGGCAAAGGATTGGGTATGGGAGGTATGGGCATGGGACCTCCGCCTGGAGGTATGGGTATGGGTCCCGGTATGGGCATGGGTCCGGGACCTGGGATGGGCCGGAAGCTCAGTTGGAATCACATAGAAAAAAAGACTTTAAGAAACACACATAAAGAACCCAATGGCGATGGCCTCCACCCCAGTAGCGATGGCCTCCAACCTAATAGCGATGGCCTTTAATTGCAGGAGCGATGGCCTCCGACCTAATAGCGATGGCCTCCTACCTACTCATAGCGATGGCCTAATAGCGATCCTCCACTAGCGATGGCCTCCAACCTAATAGGGATGGCCTCCAACCTAATAGCGATGGCCTCCAACCTCTTAGCGATGGCCTCCAACCTCTTAGCAATGGCCTCCAACCAAATAGCGATGGCCTCCAAGCTAGTAGCGATGGCCTCCAAGCTAAGACCGATCCCCTCCAACCTAAAAGCGATATCCTCCACCCTAGTAGCGATGGCCTCTAACCTAATAGCGGTGGCCTCCACCCTAGTAGCGATGGCCTCCAACCGACTACCGATTGCTTCCAACGCTCATTGTCGAAATGATCCGAAGTCTTTTGTGCTTCCAACGAGTTTCTGCTTCTTGCTGCTGTTTCTGCTTTGAGCAACTATATGCACCTATTTCCTTTTTTTTTCAATATCGTGTCAAGAGTTTCTACTGTTCACTGTTCACCTTTGGGACTAAACTCACAGACTCAGTCACCACGTTGGACCAAAATGGAAAGTATTGATCAACAGTTGCCACAGTCGGGACCAACAGTTACATTTCCTTTTTGTTTTTTGCTTTTTGAGACGTGACATGAATGACTATTTCGATACATCCGAGGTGGAATGGGTCCGGGCATGGGCAAAGGCGGCATGGGACCTATGCCTGGCACAGGCGCGTTTGGAGCAACTGAGGACTGCAAGGTATGCAGACCGATCGCCAGGTGGCATGGGCAAAGGTATGGGCCCGCCAGGCGCCCCTCCCATGGGAATGGGGCCAGAGCCTTTCTGCGAAAGATTCGCTCCATGATTTTTTGCAGGTAGACATAGTAGCATGATTTTTCTGTAAGTGGTATTTTTCTTTTTAAAGTTCGCGCTTAATATTATGCAGGTGCCTACTGGATAGCTCACGCGTCTTCAAGGAAACTCCCCCCCCCGAGGGCTGGGGGGAGCTTGCTTGAAGACTCGCTCGCACTATTCATTTGGTTCCTACTGTCCTGCTGTAGAGGAGAGTGACATTTCCTGCGGCTGACCTTTGACATGTGCGCATTCACGACTTGTCGTTAAGTTAATTGACTTTGCACTACCTGAGGCTTGGCGGCAAAGGTATGGGCGGCTGTGGTATGGACCTTAATTGCCATTAGCAAGGCATGACATTCCTTCCATCTTACACTTGCCGTCAGGAAGAATTGCACTGTGAGGTATGGGCATGCAGAACATGCCAAAGAGCACAGGAGGCTTGATGCCTCAAAACACAGGAGACTAAAGATCCCAAAATGATACTGTAAATTACAATGTAACTTGGAATCACGATGAGGCATCCATTCTTTTGAATGCTTGCACTTCCAGGAATGATTCGGCCTGGACAGATGGGCATGCCGCCTCCACAATACTGAGCTGAGAAGCCTAGTGATCACAGTCTAGAAGCCTAGCTCAGACAAACCTTTGCTAGATCAAAGAGGATCCAAGCAATGCTTATGCAATGTCATCTTCTCTGATGCATAGATCGGGCAGTGAAACGGAGAGAGGCCAATTGCCAACACCTCAAATTATATGAATGGCGGGCAATGCCAAGTATTTGTTGATTTTAGAGTTGCTGGCATTTCCATCCCTAAATCCTGCACTGCCAAAGAACGAATGTCATCGCCTAGAATGCCGACCATGCCACCAAAACGTGGCAGTCCAAAGCCATGAGATTTTGCCCGCAGCGAGAGCAAAAATGATTTTGGTCACTCATCGAGGGCTTGTACATTTGTAAACTGATTCAGCCACGAGGCGTGGATTTGTGGCTGGTGGGGTTACCTGTCTTGGCCACTTGCTGGCCTGGAAACACTTTGTGTGCCGTTGAGAGTTGAGAGATCCCGATCTGCCGGAACAACCTCGGGGTGATGCCAGGTCAAAAAATGTCCTAGGCCCTAGGTGATACAGGCAAATCTTGCACTTCGGAAAGAGCCGAGGGACTGGAGGTTCAACTAGTTTGGGCATATGAGAAGCCAATGGTCACAGCCGCAGAAGGCGTCATCAATCCAGCTTTTCAGTCCATGCAACATGCAGTCCTCTGGCATTGCGACGACAATTAGATAAACCTGACAAGCTACGGTGGCACTCGCCATTTGGAAGTGTGAAGTTTATGTCAGCAGTTGCAACTTGGAAATCGTATTTGCTTCGGCCAGGGCAGTATTGAGTGATGTGAGAGCACACGGTAGTAATCGATCCGAAAGTCGGTGGAAGAAGATCACATTATATGCAGTAATTAATAATGATTTGGTGGCGCAAACGATTTCAACTCTTGGTGTGTTCAGCAACCACAAGGATTCTGCATCGTTCCTGTCTTGGCTCAACAAGAGAGGGCAACTACGTACTAAGTCGTACTAGTGGCCGCAAGAATACACGGAGTAATACATAATTACCAAACAGGTGAAAGTGCATGTTTATTTTTGCGAGGACTTGATAGAAGCAAGGGCTTTCCAAATTTCCTCACCCGGTGGTTCCACTCCCTTGGTCCATCATGCATCACTCTGTGCCGCCAATGGCCAGCGATTCTCTGAATGTGTCCTACCTTGAGAGAGTTGCTTGGTTGCAAACTCGTTTAGCGAAGGCAAAAGAAGACGAGCACTGAAGAGAGGGAACGGCCCAAAGGCAAATAAAGAGACAATTAGACAATAGAGCTACTAGTAACAAAGGGCATCGCTACTAGGAGCAAGGACGCTACTAGGGGCACTCCTGGCCATACTAGTAACAAGAAGACGCTACTAGGCCAGTCCTAACGGTCCTCACGCGTGCCTATGTCAGACCTGATGAGGCGCCTCCACGCCGGAACGCTAATGTGCAGGCATTCATCCGTGGGAAGGAATCCTCCTACGCAGATGCTCTGGAGTTTTGCCGTCAAGGTTTAGGTTTCATGGGAGATGAAATCTTGACAAAGGTGAAATCTGAGATGCAACAAACGGTGAACTACATCAAGTCAGAAGTAGCCGACATGAAGTCCGAGGTAGCGGACATGGTCGAACACCACCATTTGACCTTGGCTGCGAAACTTGAGTCGATTAATGAGAAACTCTATTCAGTCGAGAGAATCGACGGTGCCAAGCGCTCACAGTCTCCGGACGCACGATCACGTGAGCAGAACGAAGCGAATCGCCGGCTGGTCCTGAGGAGAGAAGAGCAGATTTTGCAGATTCATGACCAGCTTGCAAAAATGTCCGATCAACTTAACAAAGTCAACAAGAAGAGTGATATGGACCAGTGCATGCAGAACCTGGCTGGGAAGATCGATCTACAACAAATGCTCGATGCCCAAGCAATGAACTTGATGCAACAGATGCGGCAGATGCACATGGGCACTCATGATGTTTCGGAGGTTTTGAGAGAATTGGAAAATGCCAAACCCCCTCAAATTGATTTGTCACTGATCTCAACAGAAATCCGGAAGACCATCATGATCTTCGAGGAGGACTTTCGGATGCTGATGAATGAAATCACCAAAGTGCAAAAGCACCTGCAGATTGATTATGTTGAAATAGCCGCTGTAGGTCAGGTCACTGGGCTGAGTGTACAGGAGTCAACTGCAGTTCCAGCAGAAGGAGCACCAACCACGGAGGGAACATGTCCTTCTCCCTCATGTCCTTCTCCCTCACCAAGCGAATCGGCTTCCAGAGGGAGCAAGGTGATGATAGAAGGCGTCACGTTTGCTGAGGAGGAGGTGGTGATTTGTGAAGATCTCCATATTGCTTCCAGAGTGAAAAGGTCAAAGAGGGTTCGCGAGGTGTCAGCCCAAACCGAAAATTCTAGACGGGACGAACATGTTCAGACAGATCTGGACCATCAAGCGCACAAGCCGCACCACAAGAAGAAGACACTGCCAGCAGCAAAGACAAAGGTGGTGCAACCTGTAGCGCAGTTGCGCCCTGGGCTGCAAGACAAAGATGCTTTCAAGGAGAGAGCTAGGAAGGCCTTGCTGCGTCCACAGTACAATGTTTTTGACTACTACCATACAACTGGCGTGTGTCAGGCCATTGCTCGTCACTTTGTTTTTGACAATCTCACTGTTTGTGTGGTTGCACTTAATGCAATATGGATCGCGGTTGACATTGACTACAATACCAGTGCTGTTTTGACACAAGCTGAATCTCGGCACTGCCAGAGCATTTGTTTACTAGATTGATACCACTAAACTCAATCGCATAGTTTCAATTGGTTGTTACATGTTTTTACGATTTTTATTTGGAAGCCCGGTGATTCGTTGCGAGGACACAGTTTTTCAAGTTGTGGAACACTCATTTTGCACCTACTTTTTCCTCGAGATCATGATACGATTTGGTGCCTTCGCTCACAAGCGCAGAGCTCTTATGGATGTTTGGTTTCTTTTCGATTCTGTCCTCGTGGCCAACATGGTGGTGGAAACTTGGTTGGTTCCCATCATTATTATTGCAGCTGGAACAGATGCGGCAGATGTCTTGAATATCTCATTCCTTCGAATGATGCGCTGCTTGGCGCACGTGGCCCCCCAAAGATCTTCCACCTTGGGCCCTCTTGCTTGTTGACCAATGGTTCAGGGAAACACTGGACCAGAAGGGCAGCGGGCAGCGAGCCTCATTTTACTTTCACAAATATAGATACGTGCTGAGGTATGGTGAAGCTACTTCGTTTGTCCAGAATATCAAGGCAGCACTCTTAGAGGTTGAAGCATGTGAAAGGATTGCTGCCATCTTGCGCTTCATGAGGTTTATCCGTTCAGTGCCCGAACTGGTCATCATTCTGAAGGCTGTGGTACTTTTTAGATCTGTTTTGGGGCGCTGGGCGGCGCTGGGTCCTGATGGTTTGTCAATTGTGGGTTCGGCTCAAACGTGGAAGAACGTCGAAGACCAGAGGCCATGGGCTTTGCAGCGAGATCGGTGCTGGTCTTCTTCCTTGTTTGGCTGGCCGAACACTTGGAAAGGAACGACTTGTTGATCTTGAAAGATACATTGCAGCGTTGTTCGACTAGTTCTGTTCATTTTGGATCAGTGCGCAATCACAAAGTAAATGGATGCCGGATGAGTTGCATGGGAGTTCGAGGTGATCATCTATATATTTGCAGTCGTGCTACGACAAGCAACGGACTCTTCAACAGCTGCTTTTTTGAACTTCTATGTGGGATTCTGTTCATGTTTCCTTCAAGCTTGCTTAATGTGACTTTACTTTGCAGTTTGCACAAGGAAGGCTGATGCAGTACAAGATACTCTCAGATGCTATAGCTGTTGGTGTAGTGCAGCGAGCCAACTCCCTGCATTTGAGGTCGGCACAAGCCTGTTTCCTTCAGTTCCCTCAGCCATGAACACTCTATTGCTTGATGGCCTTCTTGCAGACTATGCGCCATTGATGAAGTCTTTGGGTTCTGAGAGTGCAATTCTTTGGGTTGTGGGCCTTGCATACATTTTGCTGGTTGCCATCACAGTTCTGTATATGCTCGTTGGCAGCTTGGGCTGCATTCAGATACTGTAATGTCTTCTTTGTATCGACGCATTGTTTGGGCAAGTGCTATGACATGCGTTTTTGTTTATGCAATTGTTTGTCAAAGTTGCTGAGGATGCTTGGTGGAAGCTGTTGGAGCAATCGCAAGCTCACAAAAGGAAGGTTTGGCAATCAGCTATGTTGCTGGCAGCGTGAGAGCCAAAATGGAATCTTGGAGAAAGATTGCGGATGAAACTACCCGAAGTGATCACTGTTGTGGGTAAACTTGTGTGCAAAGATAACCAGGTTACAAGTTGCCTCTGAAAGCTGGTTCGAAGTTGCCATGCTGTCGAATTACGCCTTTTCTTTACCAGGAGTCTCTGGGACATAGCCCAGAAGGAGACATATCGCTTCACAGCTTCCAGCAATATTTGACAGATCCGGAGGTTCTGAAAGATGCAAATGTTGGTTCAATGATGTTAAACTGATGCTAAGATTACGTTCGACCATGTTCAACCGTATTTCTTTACCGTTCTCTTTTGTTCTTTTATTGAAATCGTCAATTGAAGTTTTCCGAAAGTTAAGGCTAGATGTCCTTTGCTCGCTTTCCAAACACCCTGGCAGATAGCTGGTATCCTGTCGAGCGTGAAGGTGGATGTTGTAATCCTGGGAGAAATGTTGGAGATGATCTACGAAGATTTAGAACGTCAGGGTGAGGCTATGACATTTGAGAATCCTGACTGCATCCAAATGCCAGTGCAAATGTGGCTACAATCTATCATTGAAATCTGGTTTGGCTCCCGAACGTTTCAATTGATGGCTGAAAAGGTGTGTCAGAGCTCCTATGCGCGGATCCACAATCTGTAATTATGCGATTTGTGCAGTTAAAGTGTGAACTGAGCAACAGTGAAAAATGCCTTAAGTCTTAAACTCAAACCAAGGAAAATGATTGAGCTGATGCTGCAACTCAGCTTGCCGTTTTTGATTTGTCAGGTGTTTGGCCGCATGCACAACAGACTATGCTGAAGTAGTGCTTGATGATATCCACTCATATTCTCTTTTATGCTATGCTACGAACATTGTTGAAAGATATTTCAGTGCTCACAGTGTTCACAGAAGTGAGAGCATTTGAGCCAAGGAATGGGCGGGGCTCCAACACCGCAACTGTCAGGGATATAAAGGAGCTGCTGCGAATGATCAGATCGAAACTCGCTTGCAGGTGTTGGATGTTTGTGCTCCCAACAGGCGCGCAGATAAACCGCCCTGTTGTTTCATGAAAACACATGGAGTGACTTCCTTGGATGGACACAGATGAATGATGTGCAGAGTCACCCTGTATGTAAACATGAGTACACCAAGCCTGATGTTGTGGCTAGCAGTAAGGCCTAGTAGAATTCATTCATTTGTTTGCCCCTTAAATTTTGCCAGCTGTGGCTAACACATATCAGCTGCTGGTCCAGCACGTGCACACACCACACGCAACATCAAAGAGTGTCAGAAACCTGCTTTTGCACCCTTGCATCAGGTTTGTGTTTCAGTCATTTGTTGGCTTGAAGTGTCAGATTGCACGCTTTGTATAAGCTTTGAAAAGGAACCTAACCGCTTGGTTCATCTATTATTTTGGATCAGCCATCACAGCTGGCATCGTCGACATCATTCCAGAAACTGCATTCTTCCATGCACCTGAAAGTGCCTCAAACGGACATCCACTACGGGAGGGCATTTGTTGCTGCCGCTTTAATGCATCTACGGGACATTGAGGTGGAACTATTAATAAAGAGTAATGATTTCATAGTTGTGATGACAGAGACCTCCGATTGTCGTTCATGTTGATTGCTTTGCACTCCCACTGATCCTTAAATGTGGCGGACTGCGGGCGAGTTGTCTGCTTGTTCCAGCAACTTTTTCTATCTTATTCTCATATCATATCATTACTCTCTTGTCTTTTGATTCAGAACTTTGACATTTTGCCTTTCGTTCTTTTTGTGAATCTTTCATGTCCAAAGACCTTTTTTTCCATCTGCTTCTTGAACCTCTGATCCTGCAGACATTTGATTTGTCAGCATATTTCCTTGCTTCTTTTTCCCTCTCCTTCTTGGGAGACTGGGCCTTCTTTCATGCCTCTAGGATCATCCAGAAAGAAGATCCAGCTTTGAACATTACGTGGTGTGGTAAATGTTGAGATCCATCCTGCAAGATCCTTCCTGCATCCCAGAATCCCCAATCAACCTTTTCTATGCCAAAAAGCATGCGATACATGCGACAATAGTTCTGCTATATACAACACTGTTGTATTACTTTCAATTAACACTTGGAGCATTCCCCTGCCTTTGCTTGGACAGCACTCAGGGCAATCAAACTATCTGGGGTGGAGACCCTGAACAAAGTGACAGAGGTCGGGGCAAAGCAAGTTGAGTTGAATGTTGTGTTGCGTAAGCCGCACGGATCACTGGAGGAAAATAAAGGATCAATCAGAATATCTCAGAACCTAAATCTGGTTGTCAAGCTGAGAAGAGTTTGCCCCACTGGATGGTTTTACCCTGCAGGAAATGGGCAGTGTCGCAGCTACCATACAGGCATTGCGGATAGAAGGAGCGGGAGACAGCGACTCAGATTCCAGCACCTCGGAAGTTGTTGCAAACCAAGCAACCAGCTTGTTGCACTTCTCGTGGTGCATCAACAAAAACGGTCTTTTTGTTGTCTTGGAATTGTCACAATCAAAGTGGTCAAGGTAGTGGCCGAAGTCCTTCCGTCGCAGTATCTGGAAGGCCCAGGATGCATGTCCAAGAAACTACTTCAGTGAGGTCTGGTCGTTTGGGTTGGTGAAGGACTGATAGAAGTGGATGAAATGTGCAGATGAAAGAATTGCCAAGGCTAAAACAGCCAGGCCAAAGCTTTGGAAGAACATTTGTACATAGGATTGACAATGAACTATCCCAGTTCAGCTAGGTTTTCCAGCATTCTAGCCTAGCCGACTTGTGCAACTTTTTGCCGCAGAATATCTGTGCAACACTCCATCGTCAGTGCCATGTCGAAGACAATTCTCTGCCATGGAGAAGTGAAATCAGCACGTTTGGGTCGTTTGCCCTTTCTACTAGATAATATAGCATAAAGTATATATATCTACTATGTATTATACAGATCTATACTGTGCTAGCTTTCAGATCACACACTGCGCATGTAGGCTTTGGGTGCGCTTGAACTGCTGACATGTGATTCCAAGACTTGCGCAGCCAGTCATTTTCCGCTTCAAACAACAGGTGTCTCTGAGCCCACACGAAACAACGCTTTTGCATGTCCAGCGTTGGTTTACTTTGACATGTGCGACATGTTGCAGTTTGCCCAGAAGGATAACACTTAGGGAGAACGGATAATTTGTTATGCCGTTTCTTCAAAGCCGGAACGACTTAGTCGCATTGCTAGCTTGTTGGCTTGATGTCACTGCAATGGCGAATCGCAGTGCTGAGTTCAAACACATTGGCCCGCACCTTTGGTGCCACGCCTTGTTGGTTCGAGGGTTCGCGACTTTCTCCGAGGTGGCCAGCGGACTTTGGTGTCTCAGAGAGAGCCAGACACCGAGAGTGAGTCAGACCTGAAGATCACGGATACATGGATATATCATTTCGTCATATGTACTTATATATATATATATGTTATAAAGTATATATATATATAATGTATCCACAGACATGAGTGAGAAACCGCCTTGGACACATCTCAGATGTGAGCCTTGCGGCCCTTGCTTTTCATATGTCACCCAGTTTTCATGTCCCCTGGTTGTCTTTCACTCGCCTGAAAAGTCTTTTCTGAACTCCGTGAGCATATCGGTGTATCCGGAACCCAGTATTCAATGTTCCGTCGAAGGCCTGCTGGTGGGGTCCTACCATCGATAGAAGGCACGTCCCTGTGCTCCTAGTAGTTTCTTGCTCCTAGTAGTAAGGCCAGGAGCGCCCCTAGTAGCGTCCTTGGTCCTAGTAGCGATGCCCTTTGTTACTAGTAGCTAAAATGTGTTTGAGCATAGCTGAAGATCACACTTCACATTCCACCGCTATCCTGGCTCTAGGTGGAGGGAGCTCCAGCAGCAATGCAGTGCCGGGCTTTACACCGCCCTTTGCCAGCAAAACATGCTCCAACCCCCAGTGAGCCTCCCACAAACGAGCCTTGCTCAAACGCCTTCTGCAAGCACATCCAGTTCTAAGAGCTGCCTAATGGGTGTCCTGTTATTCACAATCCTGGCAACTTACAACCTTTGTCCATAACTTGGTTTCTTGCACATTGCTTTAAGTACTGGAGGCGTGGCTTGAATACGCCTCGCGGGCTGCAGCTTGGTTGTAGTTCACATTGTGTCATGTTGAAGTTTTGTTCGACATAATGACACAATGAATTGGAGCGATTTGAGTGAAGTGCCATGTCCCAAGGCAAAAGCAAAGAGGCATTCTGTCAGAGGTCGTTCGGACACATGAAGCGGATGAGATCAAGGCATGTAACCTTGGCCCTGCTCCTAGCAAACTCCCTGTGATTGACATACAGAGACGGCACATGATGGTGAAGACATGACACACATGGAAGTTGCATACTTCTAACACATTGTCGAAGCATCAAGAGCAGTTCCTTGCAGTTCCGTTTTGTGTAGGAACCTTTCTTATTTAACCAGGCTAACGCCTGGCAGCCGCCGACCCCCAGGGAAGTGGCTGGAAGAAACCCTGGCAAAAGACCTGAAAGGCATGAGTAAAAACTAAGGGCACTAGCAAGGAACAAGACCGCGCGCAGCCCGGGATTCGAGCCCGGGGACCGTGCTTATTTTTTCGCGTGGGTGGAGAGTAAATCTTACAGAAACCTTAGAACATGATTGAAATCCAGTGGAAAACGATTGAACATCGAGGAAAATGGGCTAGCATTTTTTGTTGAAAATCTGGGAACCCAAAAAACAACATGGAGACTTTAGACAACCACAGAACTACCTAGAAGAACCACAGAAAATGCTGGAAAACACCCTCGCAAAAGGTCTGAAAGGAATGAGTAAATCTTACAAAAACCATTGAAAATCCTAGAAATCCAGCGGAAAACGTCGCAAAATCTGAGAAAAACCAAGGGCACTGGCAGGGACCAGGCCGCGATCAGCCCGGGATTCGAGCCCGGGACCATTTAGGGACCGTATTTTCCCGCAATCTGGGGACCCAAAAAGCTACACAGAGCCTTTACAAAGACCTAGAGTAACCAGGCATCCTGTCAAAACCTTTGCAAAGCGCATGAAAGGCATGAGTACAACAATGGAATAAAATGGGTTAGCAATTTTCTGGGGAAATCTGGGAACCAAAAAAACCAGAGGAAATGCTGGAAAAGCCTTTGAGAATCGTACAAATCCAGCGGAAAACGTAACAAAATCTAGAAAAAACAAGAGCATTCCTAAGTAAACGCTGGAAAAGCCTTTGAAAATCCTACAAATCTAACGGAAAACGTGACAAAATCTAGGAAAAATCAAGGGTATTGGCAGGTACCACGCCGCGACCAGCCCGGGATTCGAGCCCGGGACCATTTATGGACCGTGCTTATTTTCCCGCGCGGGTGGAGAGGGTGCCCCAAGATGTAAATCAATTGGGATGGAGAAATCTTGGACAACTCTTGGAGAAATCTTGGAGAAATCTTGCGTACTTTTCGTCACTGCAACAAGGGTCCGGAGGGGTAGGGGAGGTAAGGCTAAGGTTAAGGCTACGGACTAAGGCTAAGGATAAGGCTAACGATAAGGCTCAGGCTAAGGCTAAGGCTAAGGCTATCAGTCAACAGTCACGCCTCACCCCACGAGTGGGGTCGGCGGATTCCTCCTTTTGAGTGTGTTAACTTAATAACTAGCAGCTTTTTTTTGCACACAATAATGGCCAACAGTTAAAACTTTCGCTATCTTAAACCCCTCGCCTAGCGGCCTAAAGTAGATGTTGGAAGCCTTTGTTATATCCACTTTTTCTTTGCTGCAACTGGTGCATCGCTACTAGTAACAAGGGCAGTAACAAGAAACTACTAGTAGCGCACTTGTTACTAGTAGCTTCTTTATACAGTCTTCATCCAAGGCCCCAAGTCTGCTCGAGAAGGGCGAAGTGATACCGAGCCGGTGAAACGTCCAGTCAGAAGCTTTGAGAATTGGAGTTGGTACTTGCGGTGTTCAAAGGCATTTTCCAATGTGGTTGAATTGTATGACCTTTGCATTGAAGGATGTGAATGACATCATTATCATATATTATCACATATTATATACCATATTGACTTATATAGCATTTCCGGTGGGAGAGCTAATTGATTTTTTTTTCCAACTGTATGTTGATGTCTTTTTTGCAGTTGCGGTTTTGATCTGCAGGCCAGAGCAAGCTGCTTCCAGCTATCCCGTACCTCGGGTTTTTTGAAATCGGCTATGCTCTGCCTATGCTTTGGCAATCGTGTGACGTTTGGCTATATATATATATATGCATCGATGTATACGTGTGAGTGTCTCCAAGGCAAGATGCGAGATGTGGCCGAAAGTGTTGGGGGCCAAAACGCTACTCAATTGTCCATGTGTGCTAACATGAAACATGCACACCTGAAAGCCACAAGCCGCACTTATGATTGTCACACTGTTCTCTCTTTGAGCTTTGTGCATCTGATTCAGGCTTTGCCTGCGGTTATACAGCCATCGACTGCAGTCGTCCCTCCCAAGGCATTCCACGACTAAGCACTGCAAAGAGCCGCATAGGATGGAACGGGCAAAAGAACTCGAACGATATAGGTAGATCGTAAATGCAAATAGAATCCAAAAGGATGCAGTTGCTTTATCGGACAGAACCTGCTGCGCGTGAGGTGATCAAAGTTCATAATCACAGACCAGGGGATATTCCGCGGAAAGTGACTGTAGCCGCACACCAAGAGTGACACTTCTTGAGAAATGTCGCTGTTGTTTTTCTATATGTTTATTTCTTCGTTTTCATGTTTCTTTTATTTTAGCCCGCCCTTGCTTAATTAAGTAGGCGCCCACTTAGTTAATCGAGGAGGTAAGCTTCCAGGTAGGCGCAGGATAGCTGACGCACTAATTATTCATGTGGTTCCTAGATTTTTAGGCAAACTTGCGGTTTGCATTTTGGCATGTACTTTAGGAGAGGCAGCAGAAAAGGTTTGAAGGCATGGACATTGAGGCTCAGCATCACGAACATGTCAAGGGCTAGAGTTTCTTTGAACATACCAGGCTTTCAATGCTCAACCTGATTGCTCCGGGCAGGAGTTATTACAAGCTCGCGGCATCTCTTTCCAAACTGCTCGCTGGGAAGAAGGGCATTGGTGGGGCACCCAGTAAACCGAAGAATAGAATAAGATTGATGTTGCTGTTCTTCTGGTTTGCATCTCATCATTTTGGCCACAACAACACTCCGTATATAAGAGCGCCACCAGCTTTGCAACGGAGAAAACGTTCAGGTTGACCTTGGATGATTTTGACAACACCGAATATGACATTCGTTCGCCCCAGCAGTGGATCGAAATGGGACTTCAGGCGGAATAATTCACCGTTCAGACGCAAGCTTCAGATGGATAAGTGAAAGCAGAAGCTTTCGGAACCCTTTGCATTGAAACTAGATCTTAGGGTAGTCCGAGTTGTCAGAGTTTGAGCTGTGAGGATGAGGAGAACAGCTTGCCTGTGTCAGCTACTGGCCTCCGGCTCAATGAAGACCGTGCTGGTAGCTGGCAGGCGTTGAAGACACTCGAGTACTAACTTGAGTGCAAACGCTGGCAATGTTTATATTATAATATGGTCTTATGAATCATCAAAGCATCGGCCGTTTTTCATCAAAAAGAATGAACAAGTCGCTTTTGGACCATTCTGATTGTGCGGAAATCGCTTGTCAGGCATGCGTTGCGGTTGGCACCGAGGGAGCAAGAACGTCAAAAGCTGAAGCAACACGAGAAAACATCATGATACAGTATCTTAGATATGAATAAACGAAGCGACAAAAGTTTTCATTAGGTGTTTGCGGCCCTTCCATTTTTCATTTTGTTGCTACGCTCCAGAGTTTTAACTGAATTGGTTCCACTACATGTCCACT